CTAGAGGTTAAGCATTCACGTTCTAGACCGAAGGTTTTCAATGGTGGTCTAATATTGATCAGTTGATGATTTCAATTAGATAAGTAATAACTTTATGTGTTATAATAATCTTATCGTTATGCAATTCGTTAAAAACTCTATAGCTCACAATTTAGTGTTTTTCTTTAACATTTGGTCCAATGTGTATTGTGTATGCTATTTATGTCAACGGACATAAATAGCTTGTAACATCACTTAAAAATGGAATGCCTGGCAGCAGAAGGTTTTGAAGATTGGACTGAAGAAAATAGGAAAGGAAACATAAAGGAATTGAGAAATGGAAGAATCATGAACTATGTGAAGGATAGTAGATGGGGGATTTACAAATAAGGCAATTGATGTATCGTCTTCACATTTTATCAAAGACCTCTCTAACTTTGCCTTGAACATTAAATTGGTTTTCTCCCACTTGAGTTTTCGTTCATTACAAGTGAACCTTTATGATCTAACATATTATCTGCCAAGTCATGGTTATACATACAATTCCATAAATATTAACTCTAGTTTACAATGAGATATACGTTGAGATTGTGACATGATTAAACTGACCAACACTCCTCAGATTTACAATAGTGGCTAGCACATGAGTCAAGTAGCCAGCAGACCTAAACTTCCTCGTCAGGATCCCTGTGATAATTGTAAGCAATGGTATATGATATTCAACTATATAGCTCAAAAACGGTTATATTGATATATATGTATTCATTCTTTACCTGTACCTAAATTTTGATTTTTGACAATATATAGCATGCTTGCATTTTGTGCAGGACAATAATTTATAGACGAACCAATGAGATTTAGAACTGTGAATCTTGAACTTTTGGTGCGAAATTCACCTGTCTATGTAATTGAATAGCATTTCAACTTTATAGCTGATATCAGTTCATAATGCAAACCCTAATCCTAATTTACAATTTATCTTCTAATATATAATTTCCAGTCCTAATTCCTCACATTAACTTTATGACTCTATCTCAAGCCTAGTAAGTGATTGACATTTTTCTAGATCACTTTAAAAAAACTCAAAGGTCGTCCATAAATGATAGTCACACAGTAATTTATTATTACTATCAATGCCACTTGTACTATTTTCAATTCTTGAGTTTTCCACTCATTACTTTGCTCATTTTATGTTGGTATATAGGAGAATTTTATCGATCTAGCCTCTTCTGATACACTTCCAATAACATTGAATAAAATTTGAATTCAACGACTGAAATGAGTAATGATTCGATTGTATAATTAACTCTTTCATCTTATTCAATCGATACCATATAATTATGAGCGCAATCAGCCTCAAGCAGTTGTTCCTAGGGCTCTACGGTCACGCTCCCAGGTCGTTGAGACCAACATTAATCCAACTTCATTTTCAGGTCCCTCAAGAAATACCCTTCCATTGTGTGGGCAGCCGTGAAGTGATATCAGCCCTCATACCCGTAACAGCACACGAGACCAAGTTGGTCACATTCAAAAGTTAAAAAAAAATTTTTTTAGGTCCTGGGTTCGAATCTCGCGAGCGCGGGTTCGTGGATGTGCACTGCTGAGGAGTCCCGTGCTAGGACGAAACGGCCGTCCAGTGTTTCCAGGTTTTCCATGGTGATCTAGCTTCAATTGACTCATGCTTTTAACTATGTTCAAAAAGTATTAAAAATTGAACATTTTTCAATGAGCAAAGAATAATTTAATGTTCTTTTTCCTTAAAGAAACATTGAATACAATAATTGCATTCATAATTAATTATTTTAAAGAGGAGAATTAAATATTTAATGATATTACATATTTTATATTCTGTTTATTTACAAGAGATTCATAGAAGAGTAAAAAATGAGACTTAATTTTTATCAGAAGGGGATTTTGTAGAGATTTTAGTAATTTTATATAGTTGAAATCATGAGTCAATTGAAGCTAGACCACCATGGAAAACCTGAAACCACTGGACGGCCGTTTCGTCCTATTGTGGGACTCCTCAACAGTGCACACCCATGACCCCACCTCGCGAAGTTTGAACCCAAGACCTATTGATTTCGCGCGCGATTGCTTAACCTCTAGAACCACTGAGTTGGCATCCAACGGTATTAATGTCTAACTTCAACCAATCCATGAAATTGAGCAACCTTCCACCATTGTCTTCAGTGAGTTACTATCTCACAACAGACCCGGTTGAACTCCACTGGTTACTGCTTCTCACTAGAACTCCAGGAAATACCTCTTGAAGCCAGTCACTAAGGACCATATGTTGATTAATATCAGAAGGGGGTTTCCTGAATATTTTATAGTAGTTTTTAATAATTGAGATCATGAGTCAATTGAAGCTAGACCACCGAATAATTAAAGGTCACATTTCAATCACCTTTGGAACAATAGAAAAAAAAAGAGAACAACTTCCAGGAAAAGGCAAGTAATAAATGTCTTTTGAATACTGGATATCAAGTTAATATCTTGAAATATTTAATGATGAATTATGAATAGCCAATCTCTAGTCTTTTAAATTTTTCAGAAGTCATTATTGCCAGACCATAAGAATCTGATTTATATGTTCTAAAATAAGTGGTTGTTAATTATTCTTTGTCTTGGTGACAAATATACCTTGATTACACCATAAAATTTTGTTTGATTCCTTTTTTTCAAAATTAATAATTTGAATCATCTTCTAGATCAGTAATCTCGTTTGAACTAACTCATTCTATTCTTACATAATATCAAGATTTTTTCATTAATTAATCACTTGGTCTTTTTCTACTGTCAGTGTTATGGAAGATTCTTTCATACAAGATATATACTTACAATATTTTATCAAGTCTTTGAATTATGTTTACATCCATACCATACTATATCGATGTATGATCATAGCAACTTCCAACAACACTTTCATGGGTTTTTTTTTAATATTAGAGGTTGCAAGTGGCCGACAAGAACCAATCAATTTAAAGTGAATTCATGTTATTCTCCTCAAATCTTTATTATTTCTCTCCTAAACATGATAAAGGGAACTAGATGTATTTAATTATATATACCTATGATTACAAATGATATTGTTATTCGATAGATAAAAAGTCCTGGTTAAAGTGATTATGATTATCTTGACCATTCATTGGAGATGTTCGGTGACATGGTTCAGAATTGGTAACAATGCCACAGATGCATTCCTTTAGATCCTGAGTTTCAAAATCATATAATACTTTTATTGCCCAAATAAATCGTTTCTGTGTTGCTTTAATCTGACTGATGATTGGTGTCCTCCTGTTCTTTTACACTGTTTCCGATCTCCTTTTGATTTAATGATAGTAACCAGTATATTTTTCCTTTACGCTAATGTTTTAGAAAATTGAACTTCCTACACAGTTCATTACAATAAAATCTACTGTTTATCCATGATAGCAAACTTTGAAAATGAATATTACTCAAATGTACTTAGATTAATATAATATATAACAGAGTTAAACACTTCCTAGTTAATTCATAGTGTCAATTTTGCTGTCGTTCCTTTAACGTATACCTCCACTGGACATATTTTTGTCATTACAAGTAAGAGGATATAAGCAGTTTAAACATGTGATAAATAATAATTCGTCAAACCCGACTTAACACTAACCAACTAGTATCAGTATTTTTAATCAGTTAATTCTGTTACTCTTAACTACACAGGTATCACTATCTAAGTTGTGACAAGAAGTCAATAACATTTCTACTTATTGTCTAACTAGCATTATTCATATCTTACAAGTATTAAATAGGGTCGGAAGTAGATTTATACTTTTATTATGTAAAACACTGTAAATATAAATTACTGATTAATAGTTTAAAATATATGTGTATCATCTATGTATGTTGTAATGCATGAATAGATTCAGCGAAGATGGGAAGTTGAGATTTTAAAAAGTAGTTACTTACACAATTTAAAGAAGAATTCAAGGAAAATAACTTGGAAGAAAATCATTCTTCGAAGGACCTAGACTAGTTCGAAGTTGACACAGGGTGGCATGTAAAGTTTGAGTAGATAAATGTAACTATTATAGTAGTACGGTCTACAATTAATTAGTTGCTGAGTAGCGATCAACGGTATTTTAGTCTAGTTTTTAGTGCTAGTCGAATTATATTGGTGAAATTGTAATACGATAACTACTCTGAATAACTTGATATTATATACACTATGATGAAATACTAGGTGGTTGAAGGAAGTCAGCAAGAACCTCTGAATCTGAATTTCATGCTAGTTGTTACTAATCAGTAAGGTTACATGTATCCTTGAGGAAAATGATACTCCGTGTGGGATTTAAATCTGAACAGTCTGAGACGTTATCAGTGAGCTATTCGGTGAAGTAGTACAGTCTAAAATGTGTACTATCAGATGATGTGAACTTCAAATGTAACTTCCTTTGTCCAAGTTGAATGTTACCTACTTTTAGCCAACCACTATTAACATAGAACCGAACACAAATGTATATCGGTTATAGTTACCAGACCAACATCAACACACTAAGATGAAATTACCAAAGTAAATGTCAAACGAAATTGAAATAACAATACAAATGTTTGTAAAAAGAACCATTAAACATGGAGAAGGATAAAATTTTAAAATAATATTAAAGCTTAGGATGAATTATTAATTGATCCTCATTACTGAGATCAACTGAGATGATCTCTAAACATCGACTATGATTTATCCGCCTCATCAAATGATTTTCATCACTCACTCACACGTCCACAATACTTTAAAAAAAAACCCAATGAACTAACTAATCATTCAGTTTTACACTCTTACAGGAATCACATAAAAACACTTCATTAGTCTAATTTCTATGTAAAATAATCTACAGTGAGTATTACGGATAAAAAAAAGTTCGAGAGAAAGTGGCCTTCATAGTTCGAGTTTAATACCAAATTCATAGCTAGTATAACCCACACTGAATGCTAGTAATACTATAATAATAATAATACTGATAGTAATAATAATAGCTTACATCTTCAGAATCATGATCATTTAACTGGAATTGAATCGATGGAATATGTGAATCTTTTTCATCATCAAATAAATTTATCTGATCTGTTCTATTTCTCTGATTAAATACATTTAATTGATCCTTATTTTCATCATTAATATATGAATTCGAATTATTAACTACTGTGATGGATGTTGTTTGTCGTGTTACTATTGTTGTAGGTGTGGATATCGGTGACGATGATGATGATATTTTATCCAATTCATGATGTTGGCATTCATCATTAGAGGTTAATTTAATTCCTGATTCAATAGAATTAGTTGTTGTCGTTATGATATTATCCTGTGTACCATTATATTCATCTTCTTCATTATCTTCAACTCTTATGAATGGTCTTTTCGCTGTTGTACTTGTTAATTCTGTTGAATGATGATTATGAGGATGAGGATGAAGATGATGATGATGATGATCTATTCGACTTCGTTTTATTGATAAACTTGATAAATCTTCCTTTTCATTATTATAATTACATGGTGTTAAACTATGTATATCATTCATATTCATTATATCATTAATATACAAAATGTAATTACTATGATGTATAAATAATCATTATATTAAGGAAATCAAATCAAATCTGTTTAAGAAACTTTACATGATTTATCTAAACACGTTAAGAATTGATCAAAGGAAGTTTCACAATATACAAATAATGGAAATATTTAACATACATTGAATATTGAATCCTTAAATTTCCGGGCTGATCGAACCTGTATTGGATGGTTGTTATATAGTTTTGTTTATGTTCAGCCTTTTTTTCTAAAGTAAATAGTTGGTCAGCATTTTCGCCTTTCTTTGCAAAATAGGCCAGACAACACAGGAGTCATCTTTTTTTATTTAGATTATTAATAGAAAATAGTGAATTGACGCCATTGTGTTAACGGATAGACAGGGGTTGGCTTATTATGTATTGTACATATATGTATATATATATATATATGTATATTCACTACTACTACTACTACTAATGTAAAAGACACGGAAGTGGGAGCGGAAATAAGAAATGGATGTTTAACATAATCAGAAAATGAATAATGGATAAGTGGGGTGTGGGTGTGTGTGTGTGTTAGTTTATAAATGAGCAGAATAAAAATGCCCTACAACACAGTATTCATTCAGCCTTTCGTGCTTAGATGTATTGTATGCAATGAAGGGCGGAAACGTACCATATATTTTTAATGTTTCATGGCATGCATAATACATCCGCTTGTGTATTACTCTATATAGAAATAATGTGTGTTACCTTTTATGTATATGTATATATGAAATATAGTCAAATGTTCTTTTGTACATGACCAATGTGTATCTGTATGTTGTATACAAGCAAATACGATATACGGACAGGTTAGTTTATTGACGGAAGTTTCAGGGATAGACAAATATGAATGGACAAACAAGACGGAAGTTTGTCTCAGATAACAATTATTATTATTACTATATATTTTAAATAAAAAATTCAAATAACTGATCAAGTTATCCTGGAGAAAATAGAATTATAAATCACAACAATAAACACAAGATAAGTTGAGCGAATGAAACACAAAGATGAAATGAAATAAACACAAAGAAACTTTGTGAGATTCTAATCAAAATGTTAAAGAATGAACTCTATAGGTCATATAATTTGATATTTTATATCCCAATTTGATTAAATATCTTAATCAGCAAAAAAATAACATAATTTGTATAACATAACCAATCAAAGTTGATCAAATTTAAGTCAATATATCCATCAAAGGCAAATATTCAAGCTATTTCGAATTAGATTAAATTGAACAAATTAAAGATGGATAGTGGCCAGTAGTGGAAATCAGGACGCGCGTTTCGTCCTATTTGGGACTCGTCAACTGGATGTGCCTGTATCTCAGAGTTGATATTCACTTTGGGACTCGAACCCAGTAGCTTTTGCTGCAAACGCGATCGCGTTATCCACTCGGCCATTGAGTCCTGATAGCTACTTACTTGTGCGATGAGGTGAAGTTTAAACTCATTTAGTATTGTTTGTTTGAATTTTCCCATCGATGTGTTAGGAATGCAACTGGTCAGTCTCTAATTGGCATATGTGCATACTGCAGGTACATCCAGTTGACGAGTCCCAAATAGGACGAAACGCACGTCAAACTGGATTCCACTGCTAGCCACTATCCATCTTTGCTTACAATGCTTTTGAAATAAGGCTATATCGAGGCAATACGCACAGTATTCACATATGCCAATAAGAAACTGACCAGTTGCAGTCCTAAACATCAATGGAAAGATTCAAACAAGTAATACTAAGTGAATAACATAAACTAGTTTTTATTTTATTTGGTAATTTTCCCAAGTCGTATACAAGTGAAAGTCCTATGAGGAGTGAATTTGACAAGAAGTTGGATTGTGAAACACACATGTCAATATGGTGTAGTAAAGATTTACTTATGTCTGTTACTCCTCACGGAGGATGATAGACTGTCCAGAAGGATTCTCCATCGAACCTTGTCCTGGTCAACGATTCCTAGTTGATATTCTTTTTATGTCTGCTTCCGATTCCCGACTCAATGTGTTCCTTGGTTTTCCTCTTTTCCTTTCCCTTCAGGATTACAAGCTAGAATGTGTCTCGTGATACAATTTGATGATTTCCGAAATGTATGTTCTACCCAACTTCAGTATATTTTGCTAATTTCCTCCCCAGATGGAAGATAATTTGTTTTCTGCCATAGCAGGTTGATACTGATAGTATCCGATCAATGAACATTCAGTATCTTACGTAGACAATTATTTATAAATAGCTGTACATTTTTGATGATGGTTGTAGTAGTTCGCCAAGTTTCAGTTCCATAGAGTAGAAATGTATTGACGTTCGTATCAAAGATTCTGACTTTGATGTTGGCTTTCAGACAGTTGTTTTGAGTTATATATGTTCTTCAATTGTAGGAATACGGCCCTTGCTCTGCTAATCCTTGACTTTACGTTTGAATCAGATCCTCCCTATTTATCGATGATGCTTTCCAGGTATGTGAAACTTTCCACCTCTTCCAGAGCTTCTCCATCAAGTGTGACTGGGTTAATGTGTACCGCGTTGTAGTTGAGAATCTTGCTTTATCCTTCGTGTATATTGAGGCCTACTGATACAGTGCCTACTGCTATACTGATTGTCTTGACCTGCGTTTGTTGATGTGTATCGGATAGAAACACCAGGTCATCTTCGAAGTCAGAATCGTCTAGTTGCATCCAACCTGTCCGTTTTATCCTGTGCTTTCCCTCAGATGTCGAAGTCTTTATAATCCAGTCAACCACCAGAAGAAAGAGGAAGGTGGAGAGTAGACAGCCTTGTTTGACTCCGGTCCTTACTTGGAATACATCTGTCAGCTGTCCTCCATGAACCACTTTTCACTGTAGTCCGTCGTGTGAATCCCGTATGATATTGACGATCTTCTCAGGTACACCATGGTGTTGAAGAAGATTCCATAATGTTCTCTTATCCACACTGCCAAACGCCTTCTCATAGTCAATGAAGTTGATGTATAGTGACGAATTCCACCCAACTGATTGTTTGACAATGATCCTTAGTGTCGCAATTTGGTCTGTGCACGTCCGATCCTTACGGAATCCAGCCTGTTGATCTCAAAGTTAAGTGTCTACTACGTCTTTCATCCGGTTCAGCAACACTCTATCGAAAACCTTTCCTGGTACTGCCAGCAATCTGTAGTTCTCACATTTTCTCAGATCTTTCTTTGGTATATTGGTGAGGTATCCTTCTTCCCAGTCCGTCGGCAATTGTTTTTTCTTCCAAATCTCCCTTAATAGAGTGTGAAGGATATTTGCATTTAATTCAATGTTTGACAGTGCTTCAACTAGTATATTGTCAGGTCCTATTCTTTCTCGCTTTTGACTTGTCTGATGACTGGTCACTCTGATATCTTCAATCGTTGGTGGAGTGACATCTATAAGAAGGTTTGTAGGTGCTGCTAAGATGTGAGGTGGATTCAATGGAGCTGGTCTATTTATGAGTTCCTCGAAGTATTCTACCCATCTGTTCCTCTGTTCTTGAATATTCGTGATTGTCTTGTCTTCTTCGTCCTTAACTGGTCTCTCTGGTTTACTATATTTCCACACCAGTTTCTTCGTTGTGTCATAGAGTTGTTTGCTATTTCCTTCTCTGAAGTTTTTTCCACTGTCGTTGCTAACTCTTTCACATATTTCTGCTCGTCAGCTTTAATGCTCTTCTTCACCTGCTTGTTTGCTTCTATGTATTCAGCCTGAGCCTTTACTTCCTCTGCTGTTTTTCGGCTGCTATTGATTGTCATTTTCTTATTCTTCATTTCTTGAATCTTGTCAAGGGTATCTACAGAGATTCATTCATTGGGATGATATTTCTTGAGACCCGGCAGCTTTTTTAATGTTGAAGTTATTGTTTTAATTAAGCTTTCAAGAATGAATACAACTTATAAAATGGATTTGATAGTTTAAAATAAATTGAGCATTAGATATAAAGTTAATAGTAAATTTATTCTTTATTATATCCTAATGAGCAGAAAAATGGTACTTCTGACTTCTTATTTACTCTGAAGAAGTGGCTTACATCGAAGTTACGAAACATCAGAAATACAATTTTTCTACCCATTGGGATGTAACGAAAAATATATTTATCATTAATATAAAATGGATATTGTACACCAAAGAATATTCTGTAATATCATTGGTAACCAAAGACAATATGGCCATCAGCAAAATGGATTACAACATATATTAAACAAAACCTAATTATCATCAAGTATAAAATGCGTAATGTTTGATCAGTCAAAATAAAATTGGTAGTTATGACGTCCAAAAATTTCCGTAGTAGCTTTATTTCTCAATTTATATTCCTCTCCTGACCTTTTAGTTTGTTATCTTTGTTGTATCGTTCAGAATTATGTTTGTCTGTAGAGTTTTTATGTTATACTTTTGATTTCTTTTGGGAATATCATGACTTTCTGTAATGTCACATTTTCTCTCTCTTTCTCTCATGCACGTGTGAATTAATAACACCAAAGTTTTGTAATGTATTAGTCGTCTGGTCTATCTAGCTTGAACAGATCCGTTGTTTTGTCAAAAGAATCTCCTGATTGTCTATAATTCGAAATAACCGTCAGAAATGTTGAAAACGTAAAAGAGGTAGAATAGAGTGAAAGATAATGATATAACAAAGTAATCAAATGGGGAGAGCGGAAAGAATTGAAAAATATGATTTCATCAAATAGGGATTTTGTTATCTAACAACAATTTGAACTTAGTTTTACACCAATAATTGAAATTAACTGAAGAGTGATATGGAAAACAAGAAAACACTTGATATCTTGTTTAGTGTGAATTCATAAATGTGTAAATATAAGCACAGATTCAAACAAACAATACCATTGCACAAGCAAGTGGCTATCAGGACTCAGTGGCCAAGTGAATAATGCGATGGCGTTTGAAGCGAAAGGTATTGGCTTCGAGTCTCAGAGTGAACAGCAACTCTGAGACGCAGGTACATCCAGTTGACGAGTCCCAAATAGGACGAAACGCGCGTCCTGTATTCCACTGCTAGCCACTACCCACCTTTGCTTACAAGCACAGAAGCTTGAAATATTTCAATAGATACAAAAAAACACTTAGATAAGTGAATATAAATCCAATGCTTCATATTTCCAAGTTCATTAAATTCATGCTCCTTTACGATAATCATCCAATGACATTGATGATATCTATCTTCAATCTCAACAAATTTGAGCTGCATCAACCATAGATTCTTATAAATTCTGTCCATTTAGTTCTGTATTTAAATAATTAGAATAGTAATCATCAAATTTAGTCATTCAAATTTGACCCCAGCTTAATGTTTTCCCTAAAATCAGCTCATTTTGTTTAGCTTGATTGAATTGTGGTTACTAGTGGAATATAGGATTCGCACTACATCCTATTTAAGACTTATCTAATAGATTCATCTAAATCCCAGTAATATTTACACCAAGAGTCAAACCCGGTACCAGAATCTCCAAACACCAGTGAGTTATCCATCAACCTAACGACTCCCGATAATGACCGATATGTTGTCAACCAGTACGGTATTTATTCGTAGGTATTTCTGTTATCTCATTGTTGATGTTCAGGTTGTAGTGCCGCGATTCATTAATCGTTTACTTAGA